GGCCTGCTGGGCTCCGATGATCCTTCCGCCTCAGCCTTCCAAGTAGCTGGAACTACAGGCAGGCGCTACCACCCCCGGCTAATTTTTTGATTTATTGTAGAGATGAAGTCTCACAAGTTGCCCAGGCAGGTCTCGAACCCGTGGACTCAGGCAATCCACTCACCTCAGCCTCCCAAAGTGCTGGGATTATAGGCTGAGCCACCAAGCCCAGCTAGAAATAAGTTCTAATATATACATACTATCTCTAAGCAGCCAGTTTTTCCTCTCTCGTTGTAAAACAATTATCTCTGTAAATCATATCTGTATGTTTACCTTGTTTGAATCTCAGTGAGATAGGATCCTCTATTTTGACGTTATTCTTCCTGCTGAGAAAATCCTGGAGCTATTGTCTTTTACCTTTGGAAGTTTCATAAAGGTCTTGACCTGTTTAATTCCAGTTAAGCTGAAGTGGAAGGGTTTTCCTCTTAAGTCCAAATTGCACACTCTGCACACTGTCTTAGAAAGTTGAGGCAGATTGGAGATGTACATTTGTACTGCCGCCAAACTTTAGGCCAGTTTCGCTCCCACCTACACACTGAAGCCAGTACTTCCATCTGATTCCATAGTGTTGAGCACATTACTATTGGTAAAAATATTTATGAGGTATTTGGATGTTATTGTGTCTTCTGTATAAGGAACATTGCCATTAAATGAGAACAGTTATTTACTCTAATCAAGAGGAATTACCCTTTGGTGGACACTTAGTCCAAAATAATGAGGCTTAAGGACTTGTCTTTATCTGAATCACCAGGATTACTTGTTTAAGATGTAGTTTCTTGAGCTTAGTAGTTGAAGACCATCATTTTAGCCTGCTGTGTTCTCAAACTTAACTGATAAAATCATCTGTAGTGCCTGTAAATTATACAATTTTCCAGGTCCCTTTCTTGAAGATTCAGTTTGGTGGATCCAGGGTGAGGCCTAGGAATTTGTGATTGAAACAAGTATTCCTTTGTGATTCTTCCTCACCAAGGAAGTTTGATAATCACTACTATACCGTGTCTCCATGTTCAAAACTTAAATATGTTTCTTCAAGATTCATCTGAGTGTGAGTTTCACATGTTGACCCCAGTCAGTGAACTGATAGAAATGTAATGATCTATTATAAAAAACCACAAGTGTGTAATATAAGCAATGGGTGTTGGTAAGAATAGTATGTGTTTCTGAGTGCTTTTTACATAATTAATATGTTCTGAACACTTACTCATTTGATCACACATCTGAAAGTTGTGAAAGTAAAAATAACAATTATGTTTAATGATGTTGAGAATCTGTGGAAGAATGTTAGCAAACCATTACAGAAGAGATCAAGTAGACAGTGTTGAAGAGTGCAAGCAATTGGAAACAAGAAGGAAAAGTCTTGGGAATAATCAATTAAAACTAAAGAATGTTACTGATCATCTGGGTGATAGCAATATAAAAGGGTTTAACAGAGGAACTATTTATTTCAGTTTTGAGCACCAGGGAGCAAGATATTGGGGGGAAAGATAATGTATCATGAAAAATATTAAAAGGGGCTGCCTACTCTGTTATTAAACTTGCTTAAAGATGCCACACTGCTGGCTCACGCCTATAATTCCAGCACTTTGGGAGGCCGAGGCGAAAGGATTGCCAAGCCCAGGGGTTCAGGATCAGCCTGGGCAACTTGGCAAGACCTCGTCTCTACAGTAAACAAAAAAAATTAACCAGGTGTGGTGGTGTGTGCCTGTAGTTCCATCCTCTTGGCAGGCTGAGGCGGAAGGATCACCTGAGCCCAGCATGTTGAGGCTGCAATGGCTGTGAGTGCGCACTCCAGCAACAGAGTGAGACTCTAACTCAGAAACAATTGCTTGAAGGAAAGTAAACATTAAGTAAAAAACTTTAGTGAATGTTTCTTTCTTCTTTTTTGTGGAGGGCAGTGGTTCAGTGGTATGCTCATGGCTCACTGTACTCTCAAACTCCTGAACTCAGGTGATACCCCTGCCTCAGCCTCCTGAATAGTAGGACTACTGGTGCATGCTACTATGTCTGACTTATTTTTTTGCCAGTTTCCATAGACAGGGTCTCGCTATGTTGTTGCCCAGGCTGGTCTTGAAATCCTGGTCTCAAGGGACCCTCTTATTTCAGCCTCACAGAGTGCTGGGATTATGGGCACGAGCTGCCACACTTAGCCCTACAGTAAATGTTTCTGAATGTGTGGCAGCAGAGCTATTCATATCAAAGACCTTAAGATTAATTATTCTCCCTGAAAGGAGGTCATTCTATTTTCAAAAAAACAGCCATATAATGGAATTCGTTAATATTTACTATGATAGCTACTATAATCTGTTAGAATAGCATACATTATGCCAGAGAACATTAGTTACTAATAATTGTCCCTGGCTTTCAGTTTTAGCACCACACTGTAGCCCAATGAGCTAACTGGCCAGTTGATACTCTTTCAACTTTAACAATAAGAAAGCCACCCCCGGCCAGGTTCGGTGGCTCAGCCTGCAATCCCATCACTTTGGGAGGCCGAGGTGAGTGGATTGCCTGAGCCCGCAGGTTCGAGACCCACCTGGGCAACTTGATGAGACTTCATCTCTACAATAAATCAAAAAATTAGC